ACTGGTATGTTAGAAACCAAACCAGTCATTACCCCAATTGACTGCAAGGCCAAACTTGGTCTCAATGGAGATTTGTTAACATATGCTAGTAGTTATCAAAGGCTGGTTGGGAGGCTTATTTATCTTACTATTACTCGTCCTGACATCTCTCATGCAATAAGCTTAGTAAGCCAATTCATGCATTCTCCTCGATCAACTCACCTGCAAGCAGTCAAACGGATTCTTCGTTACTTAAAGGGTTCCATTGGTCGTGGTATTTTGATGAGGAAAAATGGAAACAATCAAATTATAGGGTACTCAGATGCTGATTGGGCAGGGTGTCAAATTGACCGGAAATCCATTACAGGATATTGTACCTTCGTTGGAGGAAATTTGGTCACATGGAAGAGTAAGAAACAGAGTGTCGTTGCTCGTTCAAGTGCTGAAGCCGAATACAGAGCCATGGCTGCTGTCTCTTGTGAATTAATTTGGCTCCAGGGACTTCTCAATGATTTGGGCTTTAAAGACCCACATCCCATGACTCTCTTTTGTGATAATCAGGCTGCCATTCATATTGCTTCCAATCCAGTGTTTCATGAACGAACCAAGCATATTGAAGTTGATTGTCATTTTGTCCGAGAGAAGATTCAGTCTAATATAATTCGCACATCATACATCCGCAGTAATGAGCAACTGGCAGATATCTTCACCAAAGGACTTCCTTTAGCTCAATTTGAAGACCTTTTGTTCAAGCTTGGCTCAATCAATATTCTCGCCTCCGCTTGAGGGGGAGTATTGGAATATGTAAAATAATTAACTGCTGCTGGAAACTCCTCGTCTTCTTACAGTTGCTGGAAACTCTTCATCTTCCAACAGTTGTATTGTCTTGGTATTGTAAAAGCCTTTATTAATTCTAACGACTGTAAAAGGCTTGCATATATATGCAGCCTGTTGTACTGATATGATACGATGAATAAGAATCTAAAACTCCACCGGGGACGTAGGCTCTAAATTGCCGAACCTCGTTAAACTTGTGTTGTTCTGTTTTCTTCTTTTTCTCTGATTTCTACACTATAATTGCAGACTAATACCATTTCTAGTACTTATCAGCCCCATCTATAGATTGAAAAGATGAAACCCAGCAATACTAATAGCTACAATATTAAAGAAGAATATAACGTTGACAGGGTTGACAAAATTTTTGTTATAATGAGCTCATATTGTGTTCTTTGCTCTTAAATTTGGCTCTTGTTTGCTTCTAGGAGCTCTCCCTTAGGTGCTTCACTTTCATGACAGTAGTTACTACAGCATTAACAAATTCATATGTATATGACCAGTCATATGAACGTTGGCTACTGCACTTATGTGCATGTGAGCAGCAATACAATGATGATGATTATATAACAGCAGGTAGAAAGAAAAAAAAACTAGTCTGATGCAGAGGACTAGAAAAATGTAGAGGTTGTATAAACTTCTAGTGTCAATCTTACGGTCTGGTTGTATAAACAGGTTGGATTGAATGGTTAAAGCATTTTGTCAAACCCATGAAAAATTGCATTAGCATGTGTACTGTAGCAATTGTTCTTGCCCGATATTGCTAGAAATGAATGCACTGGCTCATATCTGGAATCAGAAATTTGATGATTGGCATTTTGATAAGGTTTTTACCATCTAATTTGGATTTTGTAACTTATGTTCCACCATTGCATCAGCTATGACTAAATCACTTTACATTTTCTTTTTGACTAAAGGTGAATCAGAAATCCGAAAACCTTCCTCCCAAAAATTGAAGTCAATGACCAGCTTGGTTGTGATTTTGTTTCTTGGGAATAACTCATAATAGTTCTCAGACTATCGGGCTGTGCGACAACTGTGAATGTTTGCTGTAAAACAATTCCTAAACCTATCCCCTTCGATTCAAATGGGTATTGATGGTTGTTCTTTGAATTCAAGTAATGATGAAACAAGCCTAGATAAAAAATCAATGCACAACTAAAACCTAATATAACATGTGGGACCGAACCAAAACCGAATTTATTTTTTTTTGGTCAAAGTGAAATTCATTAGATAAGGAAATTATGGTAGATAGCCCAATGACATAGGATCACAAACACAATCCCATAACAAAAGGCCCAACCACACACAATAAACAAGATCCAACAAAATGAAAAAAAATAACAAAAGCCCAGGCCAGAACAAACAAAAGCCCAACAAAACAACCAAACTAGGACCAACAAAATAACAAACAAACATAAAGAAACCCTAGCCGCTGCCACCACATGGAAGGAGAACCACCAATCCGCACCAGCACCGAAGGAACCCAACAACTCCACCATCAAGATAACACCAAGAACAAAGAACATAGCAACTCGAAGAGATGTCTTGGGAGGATGTATACAGCCTCCAGCGACCAATAAGCGACAAAAGCGCTTTAAGGAGATTCCAAAATCACGCTCCAACAGATGCCAACATGGAGCCATGGATCTGAAGAGGATGACACAGTAGAGCAGAAGAGGTTGCGTGAATTCGAGCCGAGCAGGGAGCGATCCAAGATATGAGTTTTGGGACAAGGAAAGGAAGAGGAGATGGGGAAAAAAGAGGAAAACAACACTAGCTATGGGAAAGGGTGTATAAGAACCACCAGAAATGAGCATAAAGCCCGAGCAAAATCACCACCAGAGGGTGAGGAGACTCAAACAGAGAGGATGCAAGCCAAAACTCACGAGAGAGGGCGGAGAGAAGTTGGGAAAGTCGACCCTGATGTGGGAGAAAAAAAAAACGACTTAAAACCAAAACCGAATTAAACCAAAGCAAACTGATTATTTATTTGTTTTGATTTTCAATTTTAAGGAAAAACGGACCGAATTGCACCGTGCCCACCCCACTTACTGACACCCAATGGCGCGAGATGTAATTTATGCCAATTACGCATTCATCGTCTAGGACAGCCCATGGACTAGATTTTTCTAGGGCCCAAAATGATAAGAAAGCCACGTACGACACGCGTAAGATGCTTGTATGCCAGATAACATGGAAGTTGACTGTTTTCTTAGTAGCAGAAAGCCACATTGTGCTTCATTTCATCCTTTAAAAAACCCCCATTCGATCAATTGAGAAACCTCACCTAGACCAGATATAAACCATTGACAATGGAGAATGTGAAACTAGTTGAGAAGGTTGTAAATGCACCAGAAAAACTGAAACAGCCCCGGAGACTTTTCTTATCAAACATAGACCTGGCCCTTGTTGTGTACCAAGAGACGGTTATCTTTTTTGATCCTCCAAGCAATGGGATGAGCTTCTCCGAGGCTTATCATAGCTTGTTTCACACACTCGGTCCCTTGCTAGCTGAATATGATTTCTTAGCCGGGCGGCGTGTGCCAAGTTTGGAAGACAGCAATCACTTTGAAATCGAATGCAACGGTGCAGGTGTTGTTGTTGCTGCAGCTAGGACAGATACCAAGCTGGATGAATTTGGTGAGCTTTTGGTACCCAAGAAAGAGTTCAGGCAGTTTGTTGCTTTCTTGCCACAAGAGGCTGAGGAAATGGATCACAAAGATAAGCCCCTTGTGTCGTTTCAGGTCTGCTCTTATCGTCATTTCACTATTCAAATAAGTCCTGATCAATCTTTGGCTGTGAAAAATGAACAAAAGTCCCAAATTGATCACAGTAATGTATGTTTGTTGTGACAGTTCACTCAGCTTGGATGTGGAAGCCTAGTGTTTGCCTCCAGGTTCAATCATTGCGCAGTCGATGGGGTTGCAGTCCGGGAGTTTGAGGCAAATTTAGCAGCTCTAACTCGCGGTGGTAACTTAGTCATTCGACCAAATGCAGATCGAACAATGTTCAAAGCTCGAAACTCTCCAAACGTCAGTTTCCCACATTTTGAATACTCAAAAGCCACTGATAGAACTGGCATATTCACTGTCCGTGGCCTGAGTGGCACCAACATGAAACTTTCCACAACTCTTAACCCAACGCGACTTATCTATTTGTCCCAAGATCGTATTGCCAGCTTGAAGAAGGCAGCCCTTAAAGATGGGAAGTTGAAGAGCTGCACTAGTTTTCAAGTTGTTGCAGCAATGACTTGGAAGGCAAGGAGCATTGCGGTTGATATGCCAGATGAAAAAACTTCCACTATTTTGATTCCAGTAGATGTTCGCAAACGAGTTGTGCCTCCAGCCCCACCTGGATTTGCTGGAAATGCATTGGTTCCTGCCTTTGCACATGCAACTGTGAAGGAGATCAAGGAGGAAGATGACTCTTCCCTTGTAAGGAAGGTGCAAGAAGGGGTAGAGAGATTGGATGATGAGTATGTGAGGTCAGGGATAGATTGGTTAGAGGTGAATAAAGGGGTACCTTGTGAAGAAGATAGCTTCTCACTTGTGTCATGATGGAAATTGGGGATAGAGCATGGTGAATTCTCCTGAGGAAAAGTTAAGTGAGCCACATCGGTTCTACTCAAGCCGGGCCTTGTCATGCTGCTGCCAGGACCGGAAGGAAAGGGAGGCCTCAGCATATGCCTGGAACTACCTGATGATCAAATGGAGTTGTTCTGCAGGTTGATGCTGGGCGAATAGTATACATGATAAGATGAATTCATTTGTTTCTATATTTATACTAATTCAGCACATGATAAGGCTGTATTAGATCAACTGTTTCATTCATCAGCTTTATATTTCTTGAACAAATAGAATGCTAATTAGTACATAAATACAGAGGAAGGTAGGACAACTATGAGAAATTTCCATAAAGTAAAGTTCTTACAACAAGGCAGAAGACTCAGTATAAGATTTCTAACATGACATTCCTAGAGATTAATCAATAATTCATCAACGTTGCTTACTTTAGCCACTTTTCCTCCCAAGTTTAAGACCCAATTCATTGAACCTTGTATCACAAGTTTCTCTTGCCCGCTATAGAAGGCCAAAGAACGGGTTTGTCAATGCACACTTCAGCTCAGAAGCAGCTGAGTTTAATGTTGCCATGTCAACCTTATTGTGAGGAAGATAAAAAACTCTCCCCCTTCAGTTGTCTCAAACCCACAGAGCTCAAGGAACTCAATTCCTCCAATCAAACTCCCAACTCTATCCTGCTCAATAAATTTCAATAAACATGAATTTAGACAATATATAACCGTTGTTAACTGTGTTTATTCTAAGCCTTTCTTTTCAAACCATCCCCAACAGAAAGAACACAAACATGCATGTGCACACACTAGGTTGGAAAACAGAAGAGATAAGTCAAAGCACAGCTTACCAAGAATAACGGATTACTGAGTCTGATCTTCCTGAATTTTTCTTCATTAGGATTCCTTGCAACATTTCCAACATATATCAGCAAGGTCTGGAAGGCTTGTCGCACTCTAGCATCGTCATCCTAGACCCACCAAAGAAAACCAATCGATAGGAAAATTTGCCTACTAAAAGCAACATTTCTGTGATCTCCTTTCTTTTTTGATAAGTAATGCATGGTACTAATGGGTATTGATGGTTGTTCTAGACCAATGTGTTATGAAACAAAACAGATTTTTGATATTTCAATAGCTATGAAGGCTCCTAATGATCTTTTTGGACTATTTTCTGTTATTCAAAGATGTAGCTCAAAAGGGCAACAAGGCAAGATTACTCTCTTTCTTGTAACAACGAGTTTGGGAACCTATTACTACGTTGAAAACATGAATCAGAGCCATATACCTTGTGGTTGCGCCTCAAGGACCGTAAACATTCTCTCATACGTTCTGATTTTGCAACAGAACGGACTGGAAATGGATTCTGACATTTAAAGAGTAAGAAGAGAACATTCAGGATAACTTTATATTATGAAATTCCCTGCAAAAACTACGTTTTTCAATGAGATAAATGAAACTTTAAATCTATAGACACCAATACAAAATATTGATACCTGTTCTATCCTCACTGCAGGTGTACGTTTCTCAGCTACAAGCTGTTCAGGTGGCAATCCAAGATTGACCCTTCTTTCTAACTGTAAAGACATGCATACAGTTTTAGGAGTAATTCAACACTTATGCCCTTTTGGGCATATGTCTAAAAGAAAAGTGGATTAGCATTATCTATGAATGATGCACAAGTTTCATACCGAAATCTTCTCAGCATAATCTTCTCTCTCCCTATCAGAAAGCTCACGAAAAACATTTGCCTCGATCAAAGTTGGCTCAGTAGCATCTTTATCATCAGCAAGTATGCCACACTCCAAAGCAATTGCTTTTGCAGTTTGAAGATTGTCGCCCGTAACCATGCGTACCTACATGTTTATCAAGTTGGAAGGTGATGCAGGCCAAGCCAAACTGAAATAGGCTAGAGACTGCAGTAGGAATACCAAAGGACCAACTGAACCTTTCCATCCAATAAAGATCACTAGAATATGGCCCTGTATATAAATATCGCCATGCTCTGGCTTTCTGGTACACGGTTTAGAAAGTACTCCAATTTAGTATTGATGGTCATTGTGCAATATGAATGGCTACTTTCAGATTTTCTGTCAAAGATTAATTGCCTATTAAACTAAGAATCCATTGAGGCGATATTTTTGTTGAATCGAGTAAATAATTGTCGTCCCTGTTGTCAATTGAAAAGTAAACCTTCAATTGGATCAAAACTGCTCATATTGGAGAAGTTTTCTCCCACATTTTTATCTTTTAAACGTCCTTACTTCGTTGCATATTTCCATCAATAGTCTTGATGACGAATGATATTTATGGATTCTTTAGTCATTAAAGTATATCACGTTTGTACGTTGTTAGTTTCTACATATACCTTCCCAGCTTATGTTGCCATAATATATATAAACACATGTACCTGGAGGACTGAAAACAAGTAACAATTCCAATTGTCAAAGAAAGCCTCCCATTTGTCTTTGTACCATCCAACTTTCCATTTGTTTCTATATCCTCTGTGTGTGTTTATGATCATGCCCCTGTTAAATTCTCGTTCTGTTTCGAATTAGCTTAAAAATAACTTGCAAAGTTTAACAGGCACCTTAGACGGGATTCGAGGTTCTACTTTAAGCAGATACCATGCAAGGTTGCAATGTATTCTTTGCCCCAGAGTTTAGCGAGGAACAAGCCTGCAGAAGTATGGGAATCTAGGAAATCCAAGAATGACGAGGAAGGGCTCAGGACTCTCAACATCAGCCAATGCACTGCACTCCCCCCTTCTGCTGTTCAGGCAGTGTGCGACTCATTTCCCGCACTTCATACCTGCTCTGGAAGGCATTCCCTCATTATGAGCGGCTGTTTTGAACTTGACATCCGTGCATTGTGCCTGTGCTGTCCAAGCACACCGCACAGCTAGGGCCCTTCCTCATCCGGCTCATTGAGTAGAGGAACGAGGATTAGGGTAACAAACTAAAGTGTGTGGAAGGGCCGAGAACCCAAAGCCACAGTACATGTGTTTGTGTTGAGATGTAATCAGCAGCAAATGGGCAATGGCCTGGAACTACGGATTTTAAGAAGTATTTTGACTGCTGGAAAACAAACTCGGTTTCGCCTCATGGTTTTGGTGATTGTTCGTTTCTAAGAGCGCCTACTCATTAAGTCCTGGCTCTGCATTTCCTAGAAGAAAATCTTTCGTTAAGCAGAGTGAGTCTAAAAAATTCATTTGAAAACCTAAATATTACAGCAACAAACGCTGAGGTAGACATTTCTGAGTTCCCTTCTGTTCCATCAAGATGACTAGTATTCAAGTAAGATGCAGTGTGAGGTCTACTTCCCATTGAATTTAAATGACATCATTTGAAAATTATCCTTGCAAAAAGTTAAACAAATCGATTTCTATTAGAAAGTCAAAATCTAATTGTGACTGAAATCAAAATCTAATTGTGATGATTTTCACATCGTGACAAAAAAAATATGCCGAACAAAGTTTTCCAGAAAACATTATAATGACCACTTATTGACTTAAAAAATGGTGGTCTACAACAATGCCCCTCAAATAGTCTTAATTGAGGCGTTCTGCCCAAGTCACTTCCTAGGACAAAACCATTAATTTCTTGCAGCCATTTTTGTGCTGCAGAACTTGCAACCATAGGCCCTTACTCCAGATTTATCAAGTGATCATCAATTCTAAGTTAACTGTCTCAAGCCATTGATATGTAGTGCTTACTCTTCACGTACACAAGTCATTTAACTCTCACTCATCTTCGCACAAGAACAAAATTGAAGATGAAATCTAGTATACACGAGAAAAAGCATTCTAACTGTAAAACTTTCCATGCCGGAACTCTAAGGTAGCCGTCCACGTGCTACCTTAAAATAGTTGTGCAGGCATGTTACAACAGAAGTAATTAAACTCGCATTTCGTTATGGGAACATTGACCATATGTGTCTAACTATACGATTTATACTCCAGGTATTGGGAACTGGGTGGTAAGCCCTTCAACTCTTCTCTGCAGATCTGACACCCGATCCTTTTGAGAGAATTCAGGGGAAGCAACAAACCTCATAAAATCTTGAAGCTTTGATCCTGATACTGTGCGTTTAGCATCAATCGTTATCTGCACACCCTCATGAATGTAGTCCGCAACTGCTATGAATTCTTTCTCGGTGAATCCCCTTGTCGTCATGGCAGGTGATCCGATGCGAATGCCACCGGGCACTACAGCACTTTTATCACCTATTTCATCAAACATTACAGCTGTAAAATCAAGGGGAAAAAAGGCTGAAAGACAAATAAAGACAACAACTACACAAACAAAATAAGATAGGGCCTTCAAACAAAAAATAAAGGCCTGGACCCTTGGGGCCCATCTGGTAAAATTATATAGCTAAGTGGCTTGACTAGAGAGTTAGAAGCTATATGCGTAGATTTGGATTAAAAGAAAACACATGCATTTTGTATGATTCCTTGTATAAAGCTATTTTGAATCCATTGCAAATAATTTGTGTCTAGTTCAAATACATGCTTTCTAAAGATGTTTTTCCATTCAGCCTAATTCTCAAATACAATGTTCGTTTAATGATTTCATCCAAATGGACCCTCAGACTCACCAGGTACTGAATTCTTGTTGAGGGTAATAGAAGCCATGTCAAGAATTTTCTCCACTCGAGCTCCATCAATCCCCTGTTAAAAAAGGAAATGTCAAATAACATTGGTAAATAAAATATGGTTATGAACTAATGCAAAGTATCCAATCACAACTTTATTGCTTAACTCATTATCGAAAACACTCTAAATTTGATAACTTATAATATGAGAATAATTATGATCTCTGATGACAGAGTCTTATATTTTCATCCACACATGAGAAAGAATCAAAACAGAAAAACGTAGCTCAAACAGTAAACGAATAGGATACAGGAAGACTCCCTAAAGAAAAACCAACCCTTGTCAAGCCAAAACAAAGGCCCGTAAACACAAAAACTGGTGAAGTCATAACTCATCTCACTAATATTTTTTGTTCTATCCATAACCTCTAAATGCTAGCCTTCTAAGAAAAGAAAAAAGTGCTAAATAGAAAACAAAAGCTCCACATTTCAGGACAAGTTCTCATTTAAGCTGCAATAAGAAATCTGTATCGAAAAATTAAAACAAATAAATTAATAAACAGTCTAGGAACTTACTAAAGGCCGCAAATCCACAAGAACCAGATGATTATCACTTCCACCAGAAACTAGTTTGTATCCAAGTTCAGTCAATCGGCTTGCAAGAGCCCTACAATTAGAGACCACCTACAAGGTAGAGCAGCCACACTAAATTAGGACATGCCTTAGACCATTTTTACATGAGGACAGTATAATTTCAGTACCTTGTTCTGGTAAGCCTTAAATTCTGGGGACTGTGCATACTTCAAGCAAACTGCAAGGCCCCCAATAGTGTGGTTATGAGGACCACCCTGCATAAAGAACTCAAGCCTTTTATCCTTTCATATCTAATTTTAAAAAATAAATACTGAATTTACAGAAACAAATAAATGATTAGATATGGTTCAGATTTGTTACTAACCTGTAAACCTGGAAAAACAGCATTGTTGATGGCAGATTCTAAATCAACCCCAAGAACTGTATCTTTCTTGAAGAAGATCATTCCACCTCTTGGGCCTCTTAAAGACTAAAGAGAAATGTCTTAAATTTGTCAGATCATCCAAATGTGGCTTACAAAAAAGAAAGCACATGCTAAGGCTATTTATGAAGTATACCGAGTCTAGAGGAGAACCAATCGACATTGCACGTGTTTACACAAGTCCATTTATGAGAAATCTCAGAATTTGGAAAAATTTAGCGAAGTATAAATACGTTACACAAGTATGAACAATACCTTGTGTGTTGTTGTGGTCACAATATCGCAGTAGTCAAAAGGATTTGCAAGCACAGAAGCAGCAACAAGACCACTTATGTGAGCCATATCCATCATAAGAAAAGCACCAACAGCATCCGCAATCTTCCCATGCAGATTAGAACTAATTGATCAGTTGCCAAAGAAAGACACAGTGCTTATATATGATAATGAATTTCATATCATTGTGTGAATGAAAATTATTATATGGAATGAAGACATAAAATACTAACCTTCCTCATGCGAGGATAGTCAAAATCACGAGGATAAGCACTAGCCCCGGCAATAATGAGTTTTGGTTTAAACCGGTCAGCCATTTCCTCAAGCTTGTCATAGTCAACGAGACCTGGATTTTTTTTTTTTTTTTTTTTTTTTAAAGGAAAAAGTCCAACATCATCCCAAGAGAATAACCATTACATCTTTAGTAAATCAGAAACACAGAATCATTCTTATCCAGAAACAAAATGCAG